CTCCCTTCTCTACGCTTGCAAAACGTGGACCCCCCTAATGGAACATCTTCGCCGGCTAGAAACATTTAGGCTGGCCTGCGTACGATCCATCCTGGGTTTAACCCGCAGGCTGGATTGTGTGAGGAGCTCACAAATCCTTGAAAGATCTGGGCAAAGACCCATCGGTGAGCTCCGGCAGGCAAGGCTGCGTTGGATGGGCCATGTAGCCCGCATGCCCAGCCACCGCATGCCGAAACAGCTTTTGTTTGGCCAGATCGAGGGGGCTAAACGGGCGCGGCACGGGCTAGAGAAGAGATGGAGTGATGTGGTACAGGAGGACGTGGAGCTGAGTGGACTTGCCGATGACTGGTACCAGCGGTGTCAAGATCGGCCTCTGTGGAGGAGGCTCGTGAAGGACGCTACTGGGCAGTTGGAGGCAGTCGCCCTCCAACAACAACGGAGGGCGGAGGAGCGATGCTCACAACAACGAGCGGAGCGCCGGGTGGCTAAAGCACAGCAAGTTGGCACAGTAGGGGGCACAGGTGGTGCATCTGCCACTCATCTCAGTCAGTCGACCCGTGGCACCTGGGTCTGCCCCGTGACCTCCTGCCAGCGGGCGTTCGACGCTTCACGTGGCCTCATGGTGCACATGGCCTGGCACAAGCGTCGTGGTGACATCACCACCACTTAGTGGCGAATGGCGGTTTGTGTGTAGGTGTGTGTGTAGGTGTGTGTGTAGGTGTGTGTGTCGGTGTATGTGTAGGTGTATAGGTGTACGTGTATAGGTGTGTGTGTGTAGGTGTGTGTGTATAAGTGTACACGTGTAGGCGTGTGTATAGGTGTGTATAGGTGTACACATGGTGTGTATAGGTGTGTGTGTGTGTAGGTGTATAGGTGTACACGTGTAGGTGTGTAGGTGTATACATGGTCGTGTGTAGGTGTACACGTGTAGGTGTGTGTGTGTATAGGTATGTATAGGTGTGTGTATAGGTGCATGTGTACGTGTAGGTGTTTTTGTAGGTGTGTAGGTGTACACGTGCTCGTGTGTATAGGTGTACACATGGTCGTGTGTAGGTGTGTATAGGTGTATACATGTAGGTGTATAGGTGTGTGTGTGTATAGGTGTGTGTATAGGTGTGTGTATAGGTGTATACATGTAGGTGTATAGGTGTGTGTATAGGTGTGTATAGGTGTATACATGTAGGTGTATAGGTGTGTGTATAGGTGTATACATGTAGGTGTATAGGTATGTATAGGTGTACACACGCTAGTGTGTAGGTGTGTGTATAGGTATGTGTAGGTGTATACATGCAGGTGTATGTATATAGGCGTGTGTACATAAACGTGTGTGTGTATCTGTGTGTGTGTCTGTGCGTGTGTGTATCTGTGTGTGTATATCTGTGTGTGTGTGTGTATACAGGGAGCGGTAGTGTAGTGGTTAGCGCTACTCTGCACTACGAACCCGGCGGCCCGAGTTCGATTCCCGTTCACGGCCAACACCGCCGGCGATGATTATATCTGAACCGGTCCCGGGCCTCCCCTAGGTCGACTCAGCCTCAAATGAGTACCTGGTGCGGTGTGTAGTGAACATCGCTAGCACTGGGGAGACAAAGGCGGCCGGGCGTGGTGCTGGCCACCCACCCCCTCGTGTGCCGTGCCGGCCTTCATAGCTGCTCGCTAACAGCACTTGCCCCTACAGTCTGTTAAGGCTATACGGGGGGGTCTTTGTCTTTGTGTGTGTGTGTGTGTGTCGATATTAAATACAAAGTAGTGACAGAACCGTGCCCGGGTTAATCTTTCAACGCTTTCACCTGCACACACACACACACGTATACACACAAAAACAATAACCGCCATTCGCCACTAAGTGGCGGTGACGTCACCACGATGCTTGTGCCAGGCTATGTGCACCTTGAGGCCATGTGAAGTGTCGAACGCCCGCTGGCAGGAGGTCACAGAAAATATGGCATCTGTGCAGGACCGCCCTTTCCTGAAACCGCATTGGGGCTCCGCAAGCCTCTCATCAGCGTGCCTGGCAAGGCGATGTTGAATAATCCTTGCCAGGACCTTTCCTGGCACACTGAGGAGTGAGATGCCCCTGTAGTTGTTACAGTCTGTGCGGTCCCCCCTTCTTAAAGAGGGGGACCACCAGGGCATCCTTCCGATCCTGCGGAACCCGTCCAGTGGTCCAGACTGTTGTTATGATGTCATGTAGGGCAGTCTGTGCACAAACGCCACCCTTCCTCAGCGTTTCATCTCTGCCTGGTGCCTTTCCTGGTCTCAGACTCTGGATCGCCTTCAGTACTTCCTCAACAGATGGCACCTCAGCCAGCTACTCACAGGGGGTGACTTCTTCCAATATTTAAGGCACCGCAGCCTCAGCAGGGTCATCCTCACTTTGTGCCACGATGTTTTCCTGGCTGAGGGATTTCCCCTCCCCCAGGACCTCACAGAAATGCTCAGCAAATCTGCAAACCTGTTCCTGGGGGTCGGAGATTGGATCACCCTTCTTTCCCCTAATGATAGTAATAGGTGTGGCGCTGCAGGTTTACTTTTTATGGAATTAAAGAGCGATTTGTGATCGCGGGCCATTGAGGCAGACTCCATCTCCTCAGCAACCCGTGACCACCACCCATCCTTGCAGCGCCTCACGGCTCTCCGAACCTCTGAGCGAAGGCTGCGGTAAGCCTTATTCTCCGACGTGGGATGCTGTAGCCGATGATAGTGGGCTTGTCGCTTTTTCTTAGCCAGCTTGAACACCTCTGTCAGCCAGGGTGTCTGGGGAAGTCTGGACCGTGTACCCAAAGCAGCCATTGCAGCTGCATGAGCCACAGTCCTAAACCTCGCCCATTTCCCCTCAACATGAGGAGTAGGGGACGATGCCAACCCCAGCCACAAGCGATAATGAAATTCTTGCTTGCAATTTTCATCAGCTAGCTGAGACCATGCCACTAAGGGTTTGAATGGGGTCCTGGGTGTACACCCACCACCAGAGTGGAAGAATGGCAGGCACATCTTACAGATGACAAGTCGATGGTCAGTGGGCAGATCAGCTCCACGGTAGGTCCTGGTGTCAAGGACATGGGCTCGCATCTGCTGCTCCGTCACTAAGTACTCCAGCAGATGTTCTTGCTTGGACCCGGCATGCATCCATGATGTGGTGTGGATGCGCCGATGCCGGAACAGCGTGTTGGTAATTACAAGCTCATGGGCTGCACAAAAATCTAGTAGCCTCCTCCTGTTGTTATTGAGCTGATCTGGCCCATGCCCTCCAATCACTCCAGACCAGGTGCCAGCATCATGACCAATTCGGGCATTGAAGTCACCCAACAAGATGACTTTATCCCGAGGGGCCACTTTAGCTAGCACCTGTGACAGGTCATAGAAGGCATCTGACTCATCGACCTTGCCTGCATCCCTCCACGGATGTTCGTCTTCAGTGGGGGCATAAGTAACCACGACCACCACTCCTCGCCTCCGGTTGATGGGAAGGTGAGCCCAAAGTAGCCTGGGGCTTACAGCTTCCCACACTTCACCGCCACGCTCCCACGCCCCCTTCATTCTTTTGTTCAGAAGATCCACTCCCTGTTGTTTGGCAGTCTCCTGCCCCGAGTAGAGGACTGTCCACCCCTCATGGTGGTAGGAGCCAGAACCGGTCCACCGGACCTCCTGAATGCCGCAGAGATCCAGGCAGTACCGGTCCAGCTCCCGACAGAGGAGTGGCAGCCTCTCCTCCGCAGTGAGCGTTCGAACATTCCACGTGGCCACACGAAGTGGCTTTTCGTTGTTTCTGGAGGAGCCCCGAGGGTAGAGATTCAATCTCCTGGCTCCGCCGAATGGGGATTGGCCGGGAGACGTCATAGACCCCTGTCCGCCCGGGGCCTCCGGCACAAGCTTATTTAATACATTTTGTCGGTGTGGTTTAGTGTTAATTAATTGAAGGTGGAGGGGTTACCAGCCCCTCGCACCCTGTCCAGACACACAGACAACAACAACAACCGCCATTCGCCACTAAGTGGCGGTGACATCACCACGACGCGTGTGCCAGGCACACAGACACACACGTACACACAGACACGTACACACAGAGACACACACACAGAGACACACACACACAGAGACACACACACAAAGACACAGAGTCACACACATACAGACACACAAAGACACACAGACACGCAAAGACACACACACACAGTGTCAAGTATAAATTGACTTTATTCAGTCAACCACGCACAGTCCGCACGAGTGAGCGACATTTTAGTGGAAATTCCACGTTCGTATGGACGGGAGATGTCCACCCCGAAGTAGCCACGTGGGGTGCACGCACATTGTGTTCCTAGCCTGACACGGCCACTACAAACCCACTGGCATTGTCTCAGAGAGGACCCCTCTGAGACACAACCCATCCAACCCACCCACCCACTCATCTACCCACCCACCCACCCACTCACCTACCCACGCACCCACTCACCTACCCATCCATCCACTCACCTACCCACCCATCCAACCCACCCACCCACTTATCTACCCACCCACCCACCTACCTACCCACTCACTCACCTACCCATACACTCACCTACCCACCCACCCACTCACCTACCCACCCGCCCACTCACCTACCCACCCACCCACTCACCTACCCATACACTCACTCACATACCCACCCACTCATCTACCCACCCATCCACTCACCTACCCATACACTCACCTACCCATACACTCACCTACCCACCCACTCACCTACCCACCCACCCACTCACCTACCCATACACTCACTCACCTACCCACCCACTCACTCACCTACCCACCCACTCACTCACTCATCTACCCACCCACTCACTCACCCACCTACCGACCCATCCACTCATCTACCCACTCACCCACCTACCCACCCATCCACTCACCTACCCATACACTCACTCACCTACCTACCCACTCACTCACCTACCCACCCACCCACCTACCCATCCACCAACACACCCACCCAACACACTCACCCACCCACCACCCCACCCCACCCACCTACCCCACCCACACACACACAGAGTGCCACGTCCGTGTCAGTGGGTGAGTGACCGCCTCCCCTTCAGCATCCGCCGCAGGACCAGCTCGATGCCGGTGCGCGTGGCCAAGCGGCGGTAGAATCCGTGGGTGTGCTTCCGCTTCAGGTTCTTGGGCTGGTACTCTGTGCCACGCTTGCGCCCGCGGGCACCCAACGGCGGGGCGAGCGGCACGGGCGGGAGAGAGGGCGCAAGCGAAGGCCTCGGGGACAGGCCGGAGCTGGTGGGGGGGGGGGTGGTGGTGGAGGGGAGAGAGGGAGGTGATTGGGGGGGGGGGTGGCGTAGGGAGTGCTAATTCTAGGCGAGGTAAGGGAATCATTTCATGGGTCTCTGTGGGTCTCTGTGGGTCTCTGTGGGTCTCTAGGGGTAAGGGTCTCTGTGGGTCTCTATGGGTCTCTGTGTATCTCTGTGGGTCTCTGTGGGTCTCTGTGTGTCTCTGTGGGTCTCTGTGGGTCTCTGTGGGTCTCTGTGGGTCTCTAGGGGTCTCTGTGGGTCTCTGTGGGTCTCTAGGAGTATGGGTCTCTGTGGGTCTCTGTGAGTCTCTGTGGGTCTCTGTGAGTCTCTGTGGGTCTCTGTGGGTCTCTAGGAGTATGGGTCTCTATGGGTCTCTATGGGTCTCTGTGGGTCTCTAGGAGTATGGGTCTCTGTGGGTCTCTGTGGGTCTCTATGGGTCTCTATGGGTCTCTGTGGGTCTCTGTGGGTCTCTAGGAGTATGGGTCTCTATGGGTCTCTGTGGGTCTCTGTGGGTCTCTAGGAGTATGGGCCTCTGTGGGTCTCTGTGGGTCTCTGTGGGTCTTTAGGAGTATGGGTCTCTGTGGGTCTCTGTGGGTCTCTATGGGTCTCTATGGGTCTCTGTGGGTCTCTGTGGGTCTCTGTGGGTCTCTAGGAGTATGGGTCTCTGTGGGTCTCTGTGGGTCTCTATAGGTCTCTGTGGGTCTCTAGGAGTATGGGTCTCTGTGGGTCTCTATGGGTCTCTGTGGGTCTCTGTGGTTCTCTGTGGGTCTCTGTGGGTCTCTGTGGGTCTCTAGGAGTATGGGTCTCTGTGGGTCTCTGTGGGTCTCTATGGGTCTCTGTGGGTCTCTGTGGGTCTCTGTGGGTCTCTGTGTGTCTCTGTGGGTCTCTAGGAGTATGGGTCTCTGAAGGTCTCTGTGGGTCTCTGTGGGTCTCTGTGGGTCTCTATGGGTCACTATGGGTCTCTGTGGGTCTCTGTGGGTCTCTAGGAGTATGGGTCTCTATGGGTCTCTGTGGGTCTCTGTGGGTCTCTAGGAGTATGGGCCTCTGTGGGTCTCTGTGGGTCTCTGTGGGTCTCTAGGGGTCTCTAGGGGTCTCTGTGGGTCTCTGTGGGTCTCTAGGAGTATGGGTCTCTGTGGGTCACTATGGGTCTCTATGTGTCTCTGTGGGTCTCTGTGGGTCTCTAGGAGTATGGGTCTCTGTGGTTCTCTGTGGGTCTCTGTGGGTCTCTAGGAGTATGGATCTCTATGAGTATGGGTCTCTATGGGTCTCTAGGAATATGGGTCTCTATGTGTCTCTGTGGGTCTCTGTGGGTCTCTAGGAGTATGGGTCTCTGTTGGTCTCTGTGGGTCTCTAGGAGTATGGGTCTCTGTGGGTCTCTGTGGGTCTCTGTGGGTCTCTGTCAGTCTCTAGGAGTATGGGTCTCTATGGGTCTCTATGAGTATGGGTCTCTGTGGGTCTCTGTTGGTCTCTGTGGGTCTCTGTCAGTCTCTAGGAGTATGGGCCTCTATGGGTCTCTATGAGTATGGGTCTCTGTTGGTCTCTGTGGGTCTCTAGGAGTATGGGTCTCTATGGGTCTCTATGAGTATGGGTCTCTGTGGGTCTCTGTTGGTCTCTGTGGGTCTCTGTCAGTCTCTAGGAGTATGGGCCTCTATGGGTCTCTATGAGTATGGGTCTCTGTTGGTCTCTGTGGGTCTCTAGGAGTATGGGTCTCTATGGGTCTCTGTGGGTCTCTAGGAGTATGGGTCTCTATGGGTCACTATGGGTCTCTATGGGTCTCTGTGGGTCTCTAGGAGTATGGGTCTCTGTGGGTCTCCAGCAGTATGGGTCTCTATGGGTCTCTGTGGGTCTCTGTGGGTCTCTAGGATTATGGGTCACTATGGGTCTCTGTGGGTCTCTATGGGTCTCTGTGGGTCTCTGTGGGTCTCTATGGGTCTCTATGGGTCTCTGTGGGTCTCTAGGAGTATGGGTCTCTGTGGGTCTCTATGAGTATGGGTCTCTATGGGTCTCTAGGAGTATGGGTCTCTATGGGTCTCTAGGAGTATGGGTCTCTATGGGTTTCCGTGGGTCTCTCTGAGTGTGGGTCTCTGCGGGTCTCTATGGGTCTCTGTGGGTGTCTGTGGGTCTCTGTGGGTCTCTGTGGGTCTCTGTGGGTCTCTATGGGTCTCTATGGGTCTCTATGAGTGTCTGTGGGTTTCCGCGGGTCTCTATGAGTGTGGGTCTCTGTGAGTCTCTATGAGTGTCTGTGGGTGTCTGTGGGTCTCTGTGGGTGTCTGTGGGTCTCTGTGGGTCTCTGTGGGTCTCTGTGGGTCTCTGTGGGTCTCTGTGGGTGTCTGTGGGTCTCTGTGGGTCTCTGTGGGTCTCTATGGGTGTCTGTGGGTGTCTGTGGGTCTCTATGGGTGTCTATGGGTGTCTGTGGGTCTCTGTGGGTCTCTGTGGGTGTCTGTGGGTCTCTTTGGGTGTCTATGGGTCTCTGTGGGTCTCTATGGGTGTCTGTGGGTCTCTGTGGGTATCTATGGGTGTCTGTGGATCTCTGTGGGTGTCTGTCTGTGGGTCTCTGTGGGTCTCTGTGGGTGTCTATGGGTCTCTGTGGGTGTCTATGGGTCTCTGTGGGTCTCTATGGGTGTCTGTGGGTCTCTGTGGGTATCTATGGGTGTCTGTGGGTCTCTGTGGGTGTCTATGGGTCTCTGTGGGTCTCTGTGAAGGGTGTCTATGGGTGTCTATGAGTGTGGGTCTCTATGGGTGTCTGTGGGTCTCTGTGGGTCTCTGTGGGTCTCTGTGGGTGTCTGTGGGTCTCTGTGGGTGTCTATGGATCTTTGTGGGTCTCTGTGAAGGGTGTCTATGGGTGTCTATGAGTGTGGGTCTCTATGGGTGTCTGTGGGTCTCTGTGGGTCTCTGTGGGTGTCTATGGGTCTCTGTGGGTGTCTATGGGTGTCTATGGGTCTCTGTGGGTCTCTGTGGGTGTCTATGGGTATCTATGGGTGTCTGTAGGTGTCTATGGGTCTCTGTGGGTGTCTATGGGTGTCCGTGGATCTCTGTGGGTGTCTATGGGTCTCTGTGAAGGGTGTCTATGGGTGTCTATGAGTGTGGGTCTCTATGGGTGTCTGTGGGTGTCTGTGGGTCTCTGTGGGTCTCTATGGGTCTCTGTGGGTGTCTATGGGTGTCTGTGGGTCTCTGTGGGTCTATGAGGGTCTCTGTGGGTGTCTATGGGTGTCTATGGGTCTCTGTGGGTCTCTGTGGGTCTCTATGGGTATCTGTGGGTGTCTATGGGTATTTATGGGTGTCTGTGGGTGTCTATGGGTCTCTGTGGGTGTCTATGGGTGTCTGTGGATCTCTATGGGTCTCTATCGGTCTCTATGGGTGTCTATGGGTGTCTGTGGGTCTATGTGGGTGTCTGTGGGTGTCTGTGGGTCTCTTTGGGTCTCTATGGGTGTCTAAGGGTGTCTAAGCGTGTCTGTGGGTCTCTATGGGTGTCTGTGGGTGTCTATGGGTATCTATGGGTGTCTGTGGGTGTCTATGGGTCTCTGTGGGTGTCTATGGGTGTCCGTGGATCTCTGTGGGTGTCTATGGGTCTCTGTGAAGGGTGTCTATGGGTGTCTATGAGTGTGGGTCTCTATGGGTGTCTGTGGGTCTCTGTGGGTGTCTGTGGGTGTCTATGGGTCTCTGTGGGTCTCTGTGAAGGGTGTCTATGGGGGTCTATGAGTGTGGGTCTCTGTGGGTGTCTATGGGTGTCTGTGGATCTCTGTGGGTGTCTATGGGTCTCTGTGGGTCTCTGTGAAGGGTGTCTATGGGTGTGGGTCTCTATGGGTGTCTGTGGGTGTCTGTGAAGGGTGTCTATGAGTGTGGGTCTCTATGGGTGTCTGTGGGTCTCTATGGGTGTCTGTGGGTGTCTGTGGGTGTCTGTGAAGGGTGTCTATGAGTGTGGGTCTCTATGGGTCTCTATGGGTGTCTATGGGTCTCTGTGGGTGTCTGTGAAGGGTGTCTGTGAAGGGTGTCTATGAGTGTGGGTCTCTATGGGTGTCTGTGGGTCTCTGTGGGTGTCTATGGGTCTCTGTGGGTGTCTATGGGTCTCTGTGGGTCTCTGTGGGTGTCTATGGGTCTCTGTGGGTCTCTGTGAAGGGTGTCTATGAGTGTGGGTCTCTGTGGGCCTTTGTGAAGGGTGTCTATGGGTGTCTATGAGTGTGGGTCTCTATGGGTGTCTGTGGGTCTCTGTGAAGGGTGTCTATGAGTGTGGGTCTCTATGGGTGTCTGTGGGTCTCTATGGGTCTCTGTGGGTCTCTGTGAAGGGTGTCTATGGGTGTCTATGAGTGTGGGTCTCTATGGGTGTCTGTGGGTCTCTATGGGTGTCTATGGGTGTCTATGAGTGTGGGTCTCTATGGGTGTCTATGGGTCTCTATGGGTGTCTGTGGGTGTCTGTGGGTCTCTATGCAGGACACCAGCTAACAAGAGCTTCGTAGATTACAGGGTTTGTCACATCTTGACTGGTTTCACGAGTGAGCACCTACCCACCCCCCTCCATCCATCCTCCTCAGGGCATACTCCCGGCCACACGAACGTGGAATTTCCAATCCTCGCCGCCCAGATTGTACCTGAACCAGGCGCGAACGGCGCCGCGAAGAAGCGAAGCCATCGGCGGGGAAACACCGCGGCTGCTGTTGCCTCGTTCTTCGGCACACACGCACACACACCCGCCACCACCCTCGGTTAAGAGCGCTAGGCCAGCAGGGGGGGTAGGTGGGGCGGCCCGAGCGAGCCTAGGCCTCAGCTGGAATATTTGTTTTAAAACAAAAAAAAGACGCAAAAGCAAATTATATATAACAATCAACATTGGGTAACGGACGAACATATCTGTCGTTATTCCTGCAAGAAGTAGTTTATTTTATTTTTAAATAAAAAAATAAATTTTAAAAAACCCGACATCGCGATGTTCAACAAAGGTTACCCAAATGTCAGGTCGCCACGCTGCTGGATGACGTCACCGTTCGCACTGTCTGACGTCACGGATCGCAGGTTTCGTTATATTTAGCACGGTTTGACGTCACGGAAGCACGTTCTGACGTCACGGATAGGTCGCACTTTCCGTTGTCATGGTTTGCACGTTTTTGACGTCACGGAACGAGTGTTCAGACGTCGTGGGGTTGCACAATCCCTTGTCAAGGTTTGCAAGTTTTGACGTCACGGATCACGCGATCAGTTGACATGGATCGCACGTTCTGACGTCACGGATCGCACGTTTTTGATGCCGTGATGTGCACGTTGCGTTGAACATGGCGTCACGTAACGTCGAGAGCAACAGCGAGCAACGTGCAGCGTCATCAACCTCCACCCCTCCCCCACACACAAACGTTTCAGGATCGCGCTGCGCGACGTCGTACGTAATGACGTCTCAAAAGATCCAAACGAATGTGTGACGTCACCTCGCTCCCCCCCACCCCACTGCCGAAAGAGCGAGTGCATGCGCGGTGACGTCAGGCGCGCGGTGACACGTCACCGCGCAAACCCACGCGCTGACGTCACCGGCCACCTCACGTTCTTCGCTCTCTCGCCCGTTGCTTCCCCTTCCCGCCATTTTCCTCACCCACCCCCCTGCCAATCTCTCAGTCGCCTTTCTCCTCAGAACCACAGCGCTCTTCACTTCTCAAGTCGCTCGTCGGTTACGGGTTTGTCGCCCACCCTCACCTCGTTATCGATCCGCGCTCGGTGCAGCTTTCTCGATGTTACGCGGACGAACGCAAAAAGAGAAGCGAATATTAAAATGGTTTTAAGGTTTTTTTTTATTTTTTTCCGCCTGCGGCCTAGCGCGCGTGCGCGCGGTCCGCGTGCGTAGGCCCGAAGCCTCGCGTTGCCTTGCGAGGCCGGCGCGCATAGCGAGGGGGAAGGCGGCCGCTTTCGGCTCGTCCAGCCCGGGGGGGGTGGGTGGGTCGGGCTCGGAGGTCTTTTTTTATTTTCGTATTTAATTCGACGAACGTTCATTCGATGCCCTTGTTCGCTTTGCGTCTTTTGGTTGCGTTTTCTTTTTTTCTTTTAAAACGTTCGTGAATTAAAAGGTTGTGTCGTCGGATCGTGAGTGATGGCGAATCGCGAGCATTGGTCTCGGTGATTAGCATTTAACCCTATGGGAGTCTCAGTGATTAACACTGAATCCTATGGGGGTCTCAGTGATTAACATTTAACCCTATGGGAGTCTCAGTGATTAACATTTAACCCTATGTGAGTATCAGTGATTAACACTGAACCCTATGGGAGTCTCAGTAATTAACACTGAACCCTATGGGAGTCTCAGTGATTAACATTTAACCCTATGGGAGTCTCAGTGATTAACATTTAACCCTATGGGAGTCTCAGTGATTAACATTGAACCCTATGTGAGTATCAGTGATTAACACTGAACCCTATGGGAGTCTCAGTAATTAACACTGAACCCTATGGGAGTCTCAGTGATTAACATTTAACCCTATGGGAGTCTCAGTGATTAACATTTAACCCTATGGGAGTCTCAGTGATTAACATTTAACCCTATGGGGGTCTCAGTGATTAACACTGAACCCTATGGAAGTCGCAGTGATTAACACTGAACCCTATGGGAGTCTCAGTGATTAACATTTAACCCTATGAGAGTCTCAGTGATTAACATTTAACCCTATGAGAGTCTCAGTGATTAACACTGAACCCTATGGGAGTCTCAGTGATTAACATTTAACCCTATGAGAGTCTCAGTGATTAACATTTAACCCTATGCGAGTCTCAGTGATTAACACTTAACCCTATGAGAGTCTCAGTGATTAACATTTAACCCTATGAGAGTCTCAGTGATTAACACTGAACCCTATGGGAGTCTCAGTGATTAACACTGAACCCTATGGGAGTCTCAGTGATTAACATTTAACCCTATGGGAGTCTCAGTGATTAACATTGAACCCTATGTGAGTCTCAGTGATTAACACTGAACCCTATGGGAGTCTCAGTGATTAACACTGAACCCTATGGGAGTCTCAGTGATTAACATTGAACCCTTTGGGAGTCTCAGTGATTAACACTGAACCCTATGGGAGTCTCAGTGATTAACATTTAACCCTATGGGAGTCTCAATGATTAACATTTAACCCTATGGGAGTCTCAGTGATTAACATTTAACCCTATGGGAGTCTCAGTGATTATCACTGAACCCTGTGGGAGTCTCAGTGATTAACACTGAACCCTATGGGGGTCTCAGTGATTAACACTGAACCCTATGGGAGTCTCAGTGATTAACATTTAACCCTATGAGAGTCTCAGTGATTAACACTGAACCCTAAGGGAGTCTCAGTAATTAACATTTGACCCTATGGGAGTCTCAGTAATTAACATTTAACCCTATGGGAGTCTCAGTGATTAACACTGAACCCTATGGGAGCCTCAGTGATTAACATTGAACCCTATGGGAGTCTCAGTGATTAACACTGAACCCTATGGGAGTCTCAGTGATTAACATTTAACCCTATGGGAGTCTCAGTGATTGATATTTAACCCTATGGGAGTCTCAGTGATTAACATTTAACCCTATGGGAGTCTCAGTGATTAACACTGAACCCTATGGGAGTGTCAGTGATTAACACTGCACCCTATGGGGGTCTCTGTGAACATTTAACCCTATGGGAGTCTCAGTGATTATCACTGAACCCTGTGGGAGTCTCAGTGATTAACACTGAACCCTATGGGAGTCTCAGTGATTAACACTGAACCCTATGGGAGTCTCAGTGATTAACACTGAACCCTATGGGAGTCTCAGTGATTAACACTGAACCCTATGGGAGTCTCAGTGATTAACACTGAACCCTATGGGGGTCTCAGTGATTAACACTGAACCCTATGGGGGTCTCAGTGATTAACACTGCACCGTATGGGAGTCTCAGTGAATAACACTGAACCCTATGGGAGTCTCAGTGATTAACACTGAACCCTATGGGGGTCTCTGTGATGAACATTTAACCCTATGGGAGTCTCAGTGATTAACACTGAACCCTATGGGAGTCTCAGTGATTAACACTGAACCCTATGGGAGTCTCAGTGATTAACATTTAACCCTATGGGAGTCTCAGTGATTAACACTGAACCCTATGGGAGTCTCTGATTAACACTGAACCCTATGGGAGTCTCAGTGATTAACATTTAACCCTATGGGAGTCTCAGTGATTAACATTTAACCCTATGGCAGTCTCAGTGATTAACATTGAACCCTATGGGAGTCTCAGTGATTAACATTTAACCCTATGAGAGTCTCAGTGATTAACACTGAGCCCTATGGGAGTCTCAGTGATTAACATTGAACCCTATGAGAGTCTCAGTGATTAACATTGAACCCTATGAGAGTCTCAGTGATTAACACTGAACCCTATGGGAGTCTCAGTGATTAACATTGAACCCTATGGGAGTCTCAGTGATTAACATTGAACCCTATGGGAGTCAGTGATTAACACTGAACCCTATGGGAGTCTCAGTTATTAACGTTGAACCCTATGGGAGTCTCAGTGAGTAACACTGAACCTATGGGAGTCTCAGTGATTAACACTGAACCCTATGGGAGTCTCAGTGATTAACATTGAACCCTATGAGAGTCTCAGTGATTAACACTGAACCCTATGGGAGTCTCAGTGATTAACACTGAACCCTATGGGAGTCTCAGTAATTAACATTGAACCCTATGGGAGTCTCAGTGATTAACATTGAACCCTATGGGAGTCTCAGTGATTAACACTGAACCCTATGGGAGTCTCAGTGATTAACACTGAACCCTATGGGAGTCTCAGTGATTAACATTGAACCCTATGGGAGTCTCAATGATTAACATTGAACCCTATGGGAGTCTCAGTGATTAACACTGAACCCTATGGGAGTCTCAGTGATTACCACTGAACCCTGTGGGAGTCTCAGTGATTAACACTGAACCCTATGGGAGTCTCAGTGATTAACACTGAACCCTATGGGAGTCTCAGTGATTAACACTGAACCCTATGGGAGTCTCAGTGATTAACACTGAACCCTATGGGGGTCTCAGTGATTAACACTGAACCCTATGGGAGTCTCAGTGATTAACACTGAACCCTATGGGAGTCTCAGTGATTAACACGGAACCCTATGGGAGTCCCAGTGATTAACACTGAACCCTATGGGAGTCTCAGTGATTAACACTGAACCCTATGGGAGTCTCAGTGATTAACACTGAACCCTATGGGAGTCTCGGTGATTAACACTGAACCCTATGGGAGTCTCAGTGATTAACACTGAACCCTATGGGGGTCTCAGTGATTAACACTGAACCCTATGGGAGTCTCAGTGATTAACACTGAACCCTATGGGAGTCTCAATGATTAACACTGAACCCTATGGGAGTCTCACTGATTAACACTGAACCCTATGGGAGTCTCAGTGATTAACACTGAACCCTATGGGAGTCTCAGTGATTAACACTGAACCCTATGGGAGTCTCGGTGATTAACACTGAACCCTATGGGAGTCTCAGTGATTAACACTGAACCCTATGGTAGTCTCAGTGATTAACACTGAACCCTATGGGAGTCTCAGTGATTAACACTGAACCCTATGGGAGTCTCAGTGATTAACACTGAACCCTATGGGAGTCTCAATGATTAACACTGAACCCTATGGGAGTCTCAGTGATTAACACTGAACCCTATGGGAGTCTCAGCGATTAACACTGAATCCTATGGGAGTCTCGGTGATTAACACTGAACCCTATGGGGGTCTAGGTGATTAACACTGAACCCTATGGGGGTCTCAGTGATTAACACTGAACCCTATGGGAGTTTCAGTGATTAACACTGAACCCTATGGGAGTCTCAGTGATTAACACTGAATCCTATGGGGGTCTAGGTGATTAACACTGAACCCTATGGAGGTCTCGGTGATTAACACTGAACACTGTGGGAGTCTCAGTGATTAACATTGAACCCTATGGGAGTCTCATTGATGAACACTGAACCCTGTGGGAGTCTCAGTGATGAACACTGAACCCTGTGGGAGTCTCAGTGATTAACACTGAACCCTATGGGAGTCTCAGTGATTAACACTGAACCCTATGGGGGTCTCAGTGATTAACACTGAACCCTATGGGGGTCTCAGTGATTAACACTGCACCGTATGGGAGTCTCAGTGAATAACACTGAACCCTATGGGAGTCTCAGTGATTAACACTGAACCCTATGGCGGTCTCTGTGATGAACATTTAACCCTATGGGAGTCTCAGTGATTAACACTGAACCCTATGGGAGTCTCAGTGATTAACACTGAACCCTATGGGAGTCTCAGTGATTAACATTTAACCCTATGGGAGTCTCAGTGAATAACACTGAACCCTATGGGAGTCAGTGATTAACACTGAACCCTATGGGAGTCTCAGTGATTAACATTTAACCCTATGGGAGTCTCAGTGATTAACATTTAACCCTATGGGGGTCTCAGTGATTAACACTGAACCCTATGGAAGTCGCAGTGATTAACACTGAACCCTATGAGAGTCTCAGTGATTAACGTTTAACCCTATGGGAGTCTCAGTGATTAACATTGAACCCTATGTGAGTCTCAGTGATTAACACTGAACCCTATGGGAGTCTCAGTGATTAACACTGAACCCTATGGGAGTCTCAGTGATTAACATTGAACC